CACTCAAAAAGAAACAGATCAGATAAACAGGAGTTGTACTGAACCTTTTAAAGCTATGTTTAAAGCAACTAAAAATAGTATGATATACTGAAAGTGTAACTGCCTTTTTGCCATTTATCTGTCTCTGTCATTGCCACTACATGCACTGTGTCTCTCCTGACACTGGGGTCCAATGCACACAAGAATTCATTTTAAGAAGTATGAAGTTCTTTGCATGTGACCATGTAACTCTTTAGCATGCTGAGTGTCAGTGAGTATGCAGCTTCCATTTGCCCTCCCCCAGACTCCCACTTCTCCAAAGCCCAAGCATGCTCTGTTCTGAAAAAGAGAGGATATAATTAGAATAGAATATAGGGAATTGGGCTCTGTAAAGCTGATCAGCTCATTTCCATTCCTTGCCTCTTTACCAATAACAATAAAGGAATTAGACTAGAAATCAATTTACATGATAAAGCTTTTATATAAAATACATAGTAACTTTGTTTAAAATACATAGTAACTTTCTGGCATCCCAAGGCACAGGCTTAGGTTCACCCCTTGGTAGGCCTGAAGACTTCAGATGAATTATAGTTTTCTGTACATTAATTGGGGAAAGGGGAGAGGTAAAGCACCATGGCTTTGCTCTATCCATCTTATTTGTGAATTGTCCCATAAAGTTTTTCTCAAGTTTTCTAGTGCGTTTTCACAGTTCAGCTGTTCAGTTATAATTAACTGCCTTTAGAGCCACAATTGCCTCTGATCCTGGCCAGATAGCCAACATAATTCAAACCCACACACCAGGTGTTGAAAGAGAAGCCAATGGTTATATGCTTCATTGTCTTGGGCATGAGCACAGGATAGCAAAGAAATCCCAAGATCACTGAATGCTGAGGATGTCTACATGAGATGCTATAAAACAGAATCCTGGGTAAAGTAACTTTTAACTTAAAGTAACATTTGAATTTTGCATGCTTGCCTCACATTTTAATTGTCGAAGGTGCCCATAAAATTTCTGGGCATTAGGACAGAACACAGTCACGTGATAAAGTGTTTGAATATACATAAGGGACAACTAATTTCCAAAGCTAGATTGTCTTTTTCAACAAGAAACGACCAAACACTTGCCCCCAATTCTCTTCAGCTGCTAACCTTAATCGATTACTCATTCTTCCTTTCAAATAATGTCATGCGCAAATCACCAGTTGCTGCATTTACTTCACAGCTACTGCTAGCTTTTCCAGAGCAGTTTATATTTCCCTTTCTCTGTTCATTACATTATCCTGTGGTTCTCTTAAAAAGGTTCAGAATGACTGCATGGCTGGAGTATTTCTTGACCCCAAACCAAATGACTTTGTAGTAAACAGGATTTGGGAAGTGCCAAGCCTTGCAATGAAGAAGCCATCACCTAGTTCCTTACTGAAAAAGGCATTCTAGACCTGAGTTATAGTTTAAAATTAATGTGGTTAAGTGGAATTCAGTTTCTAAAATGTGTTTATTAGCAAAAGAAAAGACTGACAGGGAAAAAGCTAGCACTGACATCAAGAATGGGTACAGAGTAGATTTGGATCTAACAGCATGTCTCTGGGGGATTTACAGTTAATCTCTTCTGTCCCAATGCAGAACAAGAATGTCCCAGACTTCCAGTCTTCTAACAGGAGCAGCAAAATTATCCCCTGATTCCTAATTCACTGTAAAACATACTACAGAAATGGGGGGGGGAGAGTTTGTCTTGACCAGGAATAAATGTTTGTTGTTGTTGTTGAATGAGCTCCATTTGACTACAGTACTCAGAACAGATTCTTAGACTCAGAATTCTTTGATTTTTAATGGTCAAAATCCTGTTGGCATAACTTTGTGCAGTGTAACCTAGATTGGGTACTGGAAGCATTTCATTTGAAGTAATTAAGCACTTCCTGCCCCATCATAAATTCTTTTGCCCAGGGGAAGCCTTTGAGAGCCTTGACATAGTGGGGAGATCCTTCAATAGTTTAAAAAAAGAACACTCCCAGCAGTCCTAATCTCAGTGCTGGTGATATGGTGGTAATTTTTTTTACTATTAATGGTTTCTCCACCGCCACTTCCTAAGGCTCCCAAAGGCTTCACCAGGGCAAAAGGGAGCTCTAGGGAGCCCTGAAAGAGAGGCATAGCAAGCTTTTGATTAATTTTAAAATAATAATTCTGGTGCCCCATCTGGCAAAGTTTTGCATCAGGCTTTTGCCTCATGTATGAGAATGAAATGAGAATCTGATACTTGTCCCCAAGTGATAAATCTGTGTTCTAATTAAAAATACAGCTTATAATTGTGCTTTTACTCCTATTTTACACTACCCAGAGTAGCTGTTTGCTAGATGGGTGGTATAGAAATTGGATGGATGGATGGATGGATGGATGGATGGATGGATGGATGGATGGATGGATGGATGGATGGATGGATGGATATTAAGGAAATATCCATAAATCTAAAATTTCCTGCCCTGATTTCTCTTTCCTCTCCTATTTTTCACCTTAAACTTTTATTCATGGGAGCAAAGTATTTGAACAACATCATACTACATGCCCCTTTAGATCACAGTACAGTGGGGTCTTGACTTGAGAACTTAATCCGTATTGGAAGGCGGTTCTCAAGTCAAAAAGTTCTCAGGTCAAATCTGCATTTCCCATAGGAATGCATTGAAAACCATTTGATCCGTATCTGCTCTTTTCCGTCCATAGAAACTAATGGGAAGCTGCTATTCCTCCTTCGACCACTAGAGGGGGATATTTTGTTTCTTTTTTTCTTAGGTCAAGAAAGGTTCAGGGAAGGCAGGGAAAATACAGTCCAGGCAGTACACTACCAGGCAGTCCGAAGACTGTCTCCCAATCCATTCTCTAAACGCTGGGAGGAGTGAGGAAGCAGACAGGCACCCTTTTCACTGGCCAACAGTTAACTGAAAGTTCACATTTTGCACTTTCTCTGCCTCCCACGTGGGTTTTTTTTAGTTCTTAACTCAAATCTAAGTATGTAAGTCAAGTCAATATTTTCCTATGAGAGTGGTTCTTAAGTCAAAATGTTCTTAACTCAAGCCGTTCTTAAGTCAAGACCCCACTGTACTGGAAATCTACTTAGAAAATAAGCATTTTAGGGAAGGAACCTTGAATAAAGGTGGAAATTTTCTACACAGAGAAAATTTATTCTTCCAGAATTATTGAGGGCTGACCTACTGTGTATAATACAAATGGCCTATTATTACAAGAGGGAATTTTAAAAGTACTAAATATGTCTGACTGCCAGAAGCTTTTCACACTTCTAACTGACTGCAGACTAGCTTGCTTTGTTTTTTGATTGCTCATCAGGAGGTAAGTGCAGGGTTCATCTGGAAGTATGATTGCAGGAAGTTCTGTCTGAATCACATTTCAGTTTCTAAAACAGGCAACATGTAATGCATAGTTTGGCCATATGTTTCTTAGATGACCTGCAAGTCCTGCTGCCCTCAAATGACAGTGTTGGACGTCATGGACCATTATCACTGCCTGGGAGTACAGTGATGTCACTGTGTGGCACAACAAAACATTCTATAAGGCAATTCTAAAACTGAGGGCACCAATTCACACTCATCGGAAAACAGCCCTAACCATTGCTTTGTGTTTTGGTGAGAATTGGTTAACTGATTAAAAGAGGATTTCACTTCTGGGATTTTCCCCTGCTTAGTGTCATTTTGTGAATAGTAGTGAACACAAAAAATATCCTGTAGACCATCTTGACTGCTGCCAATGGTGCTGTCTAAATTCAGGCTGCCATTTGCTATGTAAAACTTGGTATCTTTTTCCTGCTCACAGTGTAGGCACAATATTGTGCCATTTCCTGTTCTTTTGAATTGTGGATACAGAAGCACAATGTCCCACATTTTGAAGAATTGAAATTTTTATAATGGGCTCTGGAATGCTATTGTAAGGGTAGGGGCCAGTTTTTACACATCCAAGTGATTAAACCAAGCCATATTTTCCTCTGAGGAATATAAATCCATGTGAATTAATTTGACAGCTAAAGCTTCTATGATTCTATTAAGTCACAGCTAGAGAATAGTAAACTAAATTTGTCCCTTCCTAAATTTGGAAACTTTCTTCTCCAGAGAAACAACAGAAGGAAGCAAGAGCAAAAAGGATGAGTTTCATCTGAGAAATTAATTACACTCCCTACAATAGAAAACATTATGAAATCCACCAAGAAACTAAAGCTGCTTAGCCAAACGCAGAAGCAATGTTTAAACCAAATGTTTACACTAATTTTACTCTGAATTAAGCTTGACATTCTGATTTTCTTTTAGTTTCAAGTGCAGAAACCACTGTGCTACCGAAGTAGAGAATGAAGTCACACAACAATGTTGAGCGATGAAACATGACCTTATCTAATAAAAAGTTGAAGTTAACAGAGTATAGATTGAACTGGTTCAGCATATATTTTGTTTAGCTAAGCAAACTGACCATTACGTGTACCCTGGCTGACTTTCTGAGTGTTCATGGAAAGAATCTCCAAGCTGAGTCAAACTATACAGCCAAGTTTGTTATCCCCTTGCCTCAGCTTAACAGAATCACAGACAATTTAGCTGTAAAATTAATTCACAGAGATCATGTTCCTTGAAGGAAATGAAGACTTGGTTTCTACATTTTAAAATATTGGTTTAATTACCTGGATATGTAAATCCCTTAGAACAGCATTCCAGAGTTCACTGTAAAAATTGCCTGTGAGTTTGCCCCATGACACTGTCATTCTGTCATCAGAAAGAGAAGAAAAAGATATCGAAATAATAGAAGATAAATGCTTTTGTGGAAATAATACAAGATAAAATTTTATTTATGCATTTATAGCCAACCTTTGGCCAAAAAGAAGGGAGAGGGACTCAAGGATCAGTTAATGCTGGACAATTCGGTGCAAAAACAAAAGTAATAATTTGTGAGGAGAAAAACAGTTCTATTACAATAGTGTATAGGATAGTGAGAAATAACATAAACCCATTCTGCCTTATAAAAAAAGCAAGGATTACCTGAATTTTTCATACTAGAGCTGTTCAGTTTGGAATCTTTGATGACCAAATGCTTAATCCAAAGCGTGGGAGCTGTGATTTCTGAAAACAAGAACATGTCTGTTTCAAAGAACACATACAATTAACAAAGATGTTAGCTACGTGAAGATGAGAACATATGAAGAAATAGCTTGCATTTTGGACCGTTTGTGGCACAGGCCAGTGTGAGCTATTTTGTGGTGTTCACACAAATTACAGGCAATAGCATTCCAGCCAGACTGTGATCTGTGCCCAATATGAACCTGTTTAGTCCAGCAACAGGTCTGCTCTTTTGGGGAGCTGAGTTAGAGTGATTCCCCAACAGATGGAGGGGCCATTCTAAGGGGGATTGCTCCCATCAAAGCTACCCTTCCTAGTACAATCAGATGTGATCCTTTCTTGTCATCTGATCACACCCTCAGTCTGTAACAGTGGTTCCTAACCTTGGGTCCACAGATGTTTTTAGACTAAAACTCCCAGAAGACTGCACTACCAACTGTGCTGGCCAAGATTTCTGGGAGTTGTAGGCCAAGAACATTTGGGAATCCAAGATTTGGAACCACTGGTCTATAGTGTCTTGAAGCAAGAACAACAGAGTCTTGTAACATCTTAAATACTAACATATTTTATTTGGAATAAGCTTTCATTACAGGAAAAACAATGTACATGATGGGAGTGAACTACAGTCCATGAAAGCTTATTTCAAATAAAATTTTAAAAAATCTGTTAGTCTTTAAGGGGCCACAAGACACTTCATTGCTTTTGCTGAATGTAATTAACTCATAGTTCAAACAGAATGACTTTTTAAGATCATGAAATCAAGTCTTCTCAAAGAAGTTCCAGGTCATCTACGAATGTGAAAGTCCCTTTGTACAAGAAGAACCCCAGCCATTGCAGATACAAAAGGATGCCCTTGATATTATTTTTTTTCATCTGCTATTGAACTATGGTAGTTTTAGAAAGCAAACAGTTGTGTATTTATCTCACAAAGATTCACTTTATTTATTTTTTTAGAATACTAAGAGTTCTTAATCTACTTTGTAGATTAGCTGATTAAAGACTTGAGCTTTTAGCCCAGCTGTAACTTCAGCACAAAAATCCATAACACTGTCTAAGGACTAAAAATCTGGCAGTTTGGCTCCTACATAGAGGCATAATTTGTGACTGTCAGTGTCTTGGGTGACTCTGCAATCTACAGAATTTGTGACTGTCAGTGTCTTGGGTGACTGCGATCTGCAATATGTCCTGGCAACCAAAAATGCATAGTCCTTTTCTGTACTGACACCTTGATTGTGGAATCTCCAATTCCATTTTAAGAATGTTGTAAAACAAACAAACACAGGGAAACCTGCTTGGTGCAATTTTTATTTTGCCAGGATCTAAAGTCATGTTGTAATTTTGTAAACCTATCATAGAACTCTTATACTTTTTTGCTCTTTTTGATTTTGGTTTGGATTTTGGTTTAATCCTGAAGCACATTTTTCTTTGTTACTATTTTATTCCATTTATTTGGTTGTTTCTTTTCATTCTTTAAGCAACTCCAGGAGCTGCTGATTATACTGCATCCTGTACAAAACATACACAGGCAAGAATGCTACAATTGGTGCAATCATGACAGGTGTTTTTCAAGCTGTTATAGTTGGACACTATTTGAAGCACTAAAGTATGAATGGAAGAGTTTGCTTGGGAGTGGAAAAAGGCAACTAAAATATGACCTCAATTTCAGAACTCTATGAAACTAATTTGCATGGTGAAAGATATTTAGAAAAGTCTCACCCAAACTGGTGCCTTTCAGATATGCTGGATTATAACTTTCATCATCTCCTGGCCAGCATGGCCACTGCCCTCTTGGCTGAAGATAATGAAGCTATAGTCCAGAACATTTGAGGACACCAGGTTGGCAAAACCTGATTTAAATGTAAGCAGAGAGTAATTATTACAAGTAAATTGTGTAATTTGGATTTGTTTCCTAACACAGACATTATAGTCTGTAGCATCAGAAACAAGTTACACAGGCTTAGTCTTCAACTATTTATGCTCACAGCAAGTGCTTTGGGGTTCAGTGGGCATTTAAGGTAAGAAGGCAAAATTCTGAAAAATCAGATAATAAGAATTCCATAGGCAGTAATTGATAGTGCAGATCTACAATGCCACAGAACTAGTTTAGTTCAGCAGTTCTACCTGCTAATTCTGTTTCTGTGGGTTGACTCAAGAAGAACAGAGTCACTTTAGAACTGCTTCAACAGAATTTAAATGAATGATTATCCCATACTTCTTAAAAATAATTTGTTTCAAAGGGCATTCTTTTTTGTAGCTACTTAGCAATAAATTTCATGGCCAACTTCAAAGGCACTGTTTGTAAGTCAGCCAGTCAACAAAATCAAGCCATTTAAGGTAAGAAGGCAAAATTCTGAAAGCCAGTCAACAAAAGCCAGTCAACAAAATCAAGGAGATTATTTTAATGTTTGACTGATAAGCCAATATAATCAGTACTAACATATATTTTTAGGCAAGATGCATATATTCATGGATGTTATTTCTCCAAATTCCAAACTTAACAGCAAATTACATGACAAGCAAAGGTTTCTGTTGAATATTACACTAAGTGTGAAATGTGGTTTGTCTTGCATATACTTATTAGAGGGGAACACTACCAGATACAATGTTGGAAGCCTGTAGCTCAAAACTGTACTGTTTGCTAATGTTTTTATGAACTGGTATGGGTGGGAGAACAGATGCAGATATTTATTTAATATCAACTACTTTTTTTCTTGAACACCCATAAAGGATCATGTTGGAAAACATATGTGTAACAAACCCTTATTTCAAACAACTGCACACCCAAGAGAGATAATATGCACAAGCAGCAGACAATGGAACCCCTAGGCTGTCCCAAAAGACCATTCTGCCCAATATAAGAGTAGGTGTTTCATTTCTGAAATAATAAAGCACGGGATCCATACATCTTAAGACAGAGAGAGGGAAAGAATTCTGATGGTTTTTCTTACCTTCTCCATCAAAAACTGGTTGGGTCTCCATGGTGGGTGTTGGTTTTGAACCATCATCTGAATTGAGAGTTAAAAAGAATCGAAAAGAAACTACCATTATTGAGGTAAATACTATCTACTCTCCAGTACTGTTGAATGATTGGGATTTTTACATGGCCCGGCCAAGTCCTTCAGAAGGAAGAGAAAAGGAAAAGGAAAAGAGGGAGGAAGGTACGGACAGACAGATGAGAATCAGAACATAAAGATGAAGAACTTCGTGGAGTTTGCTTAAAGATCAACAATATATTTTTAAAAATCATGATTTTTAAATTAAGAAAAATTTTGTCACCTGTCAAAATGAACACGATCAAAACCAAAAAACCATCTTCCTCTCTGTGATGTATTGTTGATACATGAAGGAGTGGCTAGGAGAAATGATAATTTGACCAGCTAGGCTTCTACCATATAGCATGGCTGTCTTCACAGAAGATATCTTGGTATCTTGTTTATCTGCTATTAGGATTTAGGAATCATACCAATATGCGGCCTTATTCATATTCTGAAATAATGGGTGGATATAATGTTACAACCATAGGATGTGTTGGTCTTCTCCTAGGCCCATCCATCTCTCCCACTGCTTCACAAAGTGGGAAATTTCAGCCTATAGAAATATTGGAAATGAAAACTGGGCCTAAATAAGGCTGAAAACTAGAAGGCATTTCAAGTATTTCATATTCTCTTTGTTAAACCCTTATTTTAAAAAAACTTGTCAACAGGGAATATGGCATCACAATTAGTTGTAGAGAAATTGGGTCACAATCATTACTACAATATATTATTTCCCATGTTTATGCTGGCATATCTCTAGCACTAATATAATTGTATCAGTAAAGTGTGTGGAAGAAATTTGATCTTTAATTGCCTTCCCAAATTCAGAAATTCTCCAAGCCCAAAAATAACAATGAAATGTTTCTAATAAAAACTTGGACCATGCAAAACCCTGAACAAATTAAAACAATGAATAAAAATGGATTGTGTTGAAATTTAGCCACATAATAAAGCCAATGGATGCAAAGTCATGCTTCGGTTCCATTAATGCCTAGAGTTAAAACTCAATTAGTTCAGTGTTAAGAGGGTTCCATGTCAAAAGCATTCAAACCTATATTTTCTTCCAGAATTTTCCACTGCAAATGTGCACACTGGCAATGCAAACCATTTTTGCCCTTCTTCATATTATGTGCTAAAAGAATGAAAGAACTACCATGGGCAAAAGCAGTATCAGAAAATTATTACTGGTCTGACTAGGTAGGTCATGCAAATAAACATAACCAGTATCATAATGGGAATTTTGGGACAGTTACTGCACATTGGGGCTTTAAATACCTTGTCACATGTTCTGTGTCCTCATGCCCTGACACAAGATATACAGAAAGAAAATCTCAGTTACAAAAGCACAGTAGAATACACTGAAATGCTATACAATATCGACAATATAAACCTCATCCAGTTTTCATCACTGGGAAAACACCAATGTTGAATCACCAAATGTACTAATTCTGAAAGAAGAGCTTTCAAAAATAAAATAAAATAAAATGGTGTGTGTGTGTAATAAATACCCTTGGTCAATTCAACACTCAGAACTCTCCTTAAAAAGAACAGGCATGAGATTGGGCTGAAATATATTGCTGAAAGATACATTTTCCTATATATAAGAAGTCAAGGTCAGAAATGACATACAGGCAAATATTTTGGAGTGCTTTAATTTATTTTTAACAAATGAAGTTTAATTGTGTATTTAAAACAAACAAAAAAAACTAGATACCAGTAAGAAACTGAAATTATTTAATTAACTCAGGGAATTAACAGTGCAGATAGAAAGAAAATTAACTGAACTTAAGCCCTCTTGAAATAAAGTAGGCTGAACTGAATGAATACTTTGAGGAAAAAGCCAACTGTAAGGATTTCAAAGCCATTAGTCCTAGGTCTCTGATTTTTAATGAGTGCTGTGATGAGTGGTTTTCATCACTCATTGAAGTGTTATCCAAAGATTCTTATCCATTTCAATTGGGTTTCAGTACAGCTACTTTCTCCACCATAGGTTTGATATATTTAAGATGGTAACTAGGCAGACTCAACCATAATCCTAACAGTCACATTCATATGGGACTCAAGTCTCATAAATTTATGATCACTGTCCATTTCACAACTTTGAAAACAATCCAGACGCATTTTTTATTCTGCATTAAGGGTATGCAAGCACTTTGTGCATAAGTACTCATTGTCAAGTGAAGCTTTTAACACTACTCAAGGCTATGTAAAGAATATTTTTACAATATACTTGCATACATGTGCACCACCAGACAGATATTTGACCTGCAGTAACAATTAGGGTGCCCAAACTGGGGACAAATATAGATCTGAAAAACTGAACACTCTAACAAGATCAGAGCTAAAGATTGTTGTTGTTTAGTCATTAAGTCATGTCCAACTCTTTGTGACCCCATGAACCAGGGCATGCCAGGCCCTCCTGTCTTCCACTGCCTCCCAGAGTTGGGTCAAATTCTTGTTGGTAGCTTCGATGACACTGTCCAGCCATCTCATCGTCTGTCGTCCCCTTCTCCTCTTGCCTTCACACTTTCTCAAAATCAGAGTCCTTTCCAGGGAGTCTTCTCTTCTCATGAGATGGCCCAAGTATTGGAGCCTCAGCTTCAGGATCTGTCCTTCCAGTGAGCACTCAAGGTTGAAGCTAAAGATTAAGAACTGCTTAATAAGTTTTTTAAAAAATGCGGAAGAAATACCCACCCAAGGGCAGCATTGAGAAAGGACTGGGGGCTTATTCTCACCCTGATTTGTCTCACAGAGTTGTTGTGAGAGCAAAGTGGGAGTTTGGAGATCCATGTAAAATCACCTTTACTGAGAAGAAGGCGGATGTAAAAAAGACTAATAAGTAAAGGAGTTAAGGTTGTTGTATGTTTTCAGGGTGTTTGGCGTGGGCAGCCCAAAAAAACGTACAACAACCATCGGATCCTGGCCATGAAAGCCTTCAAGAATACAAAGGAGTTAAGCTTGCCATTCCTAATCCAGTTTCTGGGTCACTGTCCAGAAAAATGGAGGGAGCAACTCCAAGGAACATACACCACTACAAGCTCTTCCAAGATGTCTCAGCTACCATTAGGAAATCTTGTCTTGACAACTGAGGGAGGTACAAGGAAAAAATCAGGGAATGTAAGAGAAAGCAACAAGAGGAAGGACGGGAGAACCATGGGATATAATAGACCAAAAACAATCAGAAAAACAGCAGGTTAAATTCCCAACATTTTGTTATTTATCCAATCTCACACAGCAGCCATTTGTGATGACACTCAAGATAATTTTTCAACAAAATTGTGAAGTTAAGTTTAGAAAAAACTCTGGAAATGATACAATCAGCTAAACTGCTACTAAAAGTATTTCCCTTATAAAACTTCGGTTTAGGAAAGGAGTTTTACAATATGATAGTGCTGTTATACATACTTTGGAAGCAATTGTTCACACAAGTGATGTTACCTACTATACATTGGATGAAAACCATTACACTAACTATGCTGTGTAATGCTGGTGATATCATCAACCATGGTGATTTTTCAGAAATTAAAAAAAAAGTCCATTCCACTTCTCAAGTTATCAAATCTTATGTGAAACCCTCTATATTATGGGAAAGCCATTAGAGGCTGTGTGACAGGGAAGATATTTAATTTCCAAAAGACATTGCTGCTGGTGATTTTTGGTAATTAAATACTTTACCAAGTTACCACAACCACCAATGGCTTTCCCATGATGAAAGGGAAGAGAGTGGAACCTTAGGACCTTTACAGGCAGTCTGAAATTGTATTTTTCCCTATTTTGGAAAAACTGCCATGGCTGATGTCATCAGACCAATGCAATGTAACATATGGAACAGGATTTTGGCTATTATTTTCTCTAGGTCTGTCTCCGTGCTCTATGGATGTGTAGTATATGAAGAGAGAAGAGAGTGAGGTAGGTGGGGAGAGAGCGGAGAAGATAGAAAAAAAGGGAAATTATTTATTTATTTATTTTATTTATATCCCGCCTACCTAGCCAACTCAGGACCACTCTAGGTGGCTAACATCAGGTAATAAAAGTATACATACATACAACAACGTAAATAATAAAAACTTTACAAAAATAGAAACCAAGTGCAGCGGAAAAGAAAAGAAACATCAGGAATTGTCTGGAGGAAAGGCCTGCCGAAACATCCATGTCTTCAATTGCTTCTTAAAGATACCCTGTTGGGAATGAAATCTCAGAGAACAATTCCAGATGTGTTTCAACAGATGAGATACTAAGAGGACTTGGTGCATCCCAGTACATCAACAAAAAGTTCTCCCTGTGTGAATGTCAATACAGGGGTGATCTATTCAAATCTGCAACAACAACAACAAAAAAGCAGAACAACCCAATGTTATCCCAAAACAACCTGGGACAACACCACTATGGATTAGCCCCTGGTCCTAGGCATATGTCTGTAGATAGATGGGTAATCACTGTTTGCTGCTCCATGGGAAGTAGAAATAGTGTTTTAAATCTAAAAGCCATGCTCTTGCCTCTATTGTGGCATACCAACAGGCCTCATTTCCTATGGAAATCATCGATCAGTTAATCAATTAACTGGTTTTAGAAAAATTACAGCTATATTAGATAAAAGCATTTTCAAATTGTAGTATCTTGTGGATCATTTATAGCAAAATTGGGTGAGTTAAGTACTATCTCAAAATTAAAGATGGATTGTAATATTAAAAATAGAGAATATTTCCCATTTTAGCTATACCAAATATTCTTCACCATTGTAATGTATACAAGGAGCAAAAGAAAACAAGCAGAATAAATGTAACATACAACTTGTACTGTTGGACTGTGTTAACACCACTCCCCTTCTGGTTCTAAATGGGTCATTTAGACTTTAGTATTTTCAGAATTTTAAAAAAATCAGTTTCATATAACATAATTTTAGTAAGATAAGTGTCATACAGTATAATATAATTGCTATGCATCCCATCCTATCTTGGAGAAACAGATGGCTACAAAAATGGTTACAGCTGTTACAAAAATGG